CAGTTAACAGTGGCCAGCAGGATTTGGGGGCAGACAGCATATATTTTTAAAGGGAAGTTTTCTTCATTAAATTGTCATTCCACCACCTACTTCACCCCATCCATCTGACATCGACCCACCCTATTCTTGCTCCAAGAGCAGCGGGGTGACTGCACGGAAACACGACGGCGCTGCCTGTCCCATCACCCAGCCCCCTTTGCAGCCAGATGGCTACTCATCCTGGAGCTCAACCTCCCTTTATAATCGGACCTGGCTGAACTGAAGCTCTTCCATTGATCTCCACTTCCCTCCTGAAGTGCCAGCGGGACTAACAGAAATGCCTCAGGATTTTGGAATAGTTACTGCAATAACCACGGAGAAGCAGCCAGCCCGGCACTGCCTGCCCTGTCCCGGAGCCGCAGAGCTTGCCGCCGGAGGGGCGGCGTTCCCAGGGTGTTCGCTAACCCGGCATTGCCCTTCTTGCACTGACATGTCAAAGTGCAGCAGAGGAGAAACGGCAGAGGGAAAAAAAATGTGAACACGGTCGGCATTACACCCCCATTTGTTGAGTCAAAAACCAAACTGGTTTGCATACAGTTAGAAATGTAGAGCAGCTCCTTTTAAATAGTTTTAAGAATTGCCCAGCGGTGCCGTGCTGGTTTTTGGTGGCAGTTATGGAAGGAACTGCCGTAACAGGCAGCGAGGGATGGAAAAGCACGGGCCACGGCAGTGAGACAGGGCGTCACCACCAGCTCATTCCCTCCCGCTCCCTGTGCACCCCTGGCAGAACTGGCAGTCGCTAATGGGTGTCTACAGTGCTACGGACGAGGTGGTGGCAGCCCCAGGTGCCCAAGCAGCCCGTGCCAAGGGGGGATGCGAGACAGGGGTGAAGGCTCTGCGCAGTTTGAAGGTTTGCATTCTTAGCAGCTGTTTTGTGACGGTGGTTTTAGCCAAGCCGCGAGGTTCAGGCTGCTCCGCTGCGGACTGTTTTCATGAGACTTGGCACTAGACTTAGGCTGTTCAAATCAGTTTTATAAAGTGTCCTTCTAGTGCAGAGCTGTATAAAAATAGGATATCTTGAGAAACTCCTTATTCCTCAAAAAAACCCCCCAAATCTTCAGTTTCTTCCCTCCGCTCTCCCTGGTCACAGAGCCGATCCCACACACGGGTTATTCTTAACCTGCTCCATTCTGCAGACTGGACTATCAAAGTTTTGTTTAATTACTCCAGATTTTGCCCCAGATATTTAGACCACCACCAGCATGATCTACGTAGGAATTCCCACAAACACGAGCATAGAGCTGGCACCCAAGCACTAGCCAGTCATCAGACATGCCCCGAGCGGTTCTCACCCATGGACACCGAGGCACAGAGGGTAGGCGGAGAGTTCAAATCGCACTTTGAAGCACCTTTACCCACATCTACGGCCATTTTCTGGGAGGAATGTTTTATATTGCTTAAACTTAAAACAATATACCATCTGTGTGTACACACAAACACTTCATGCAACAGTGACATATCACAGGAATTAATTATATTTTTAGGTATAGTCCACCCTGTCAAAGAGGTACTCGGATATATTCTCTCCAAAGCTTAATAAAAATGTATACAGACTTCCTAAAACACCTGCTTATTTTCACTGCAAGATTAATCAAAGCAACCCTTTCGAATTCCTTTTGTTGCGATCTATTCTGCTGCAACCCAAGAGCCGACGGAATAAGCCCCCGTGAGAATAGGTCGTCTTTTTAAGACAGATTCTCCTTTTTTTGATAAATAAAATCCTACTCTTTGAATTTAGCAATGGGATTGTTATAACCCAGCTCCGACAGCGGCCAGATGGCAGTTCAAAATGAGCCTGGTCTTGGAAAGTGATGATGCACTTTGAGAGGCCTGCATTCACCCGAGTGTTGTACTACTTCAAAATCAAACTCTGCCTTTGAAAATGTCAAAGGCAACTATTCACGAGCAAACACCATATGGTGTATTTGTCCTCTTCAATTCCTCTCACAATCAATGGGAGGGAAAAAAAAAAAAAAGAACGTTTCAGACCTGAAATGACTGCATGCCACATTATACAGTGTTCTCACCGCAAGCTCTCCAAAACGTTAGATGGTGGCATAAAATTGCTCAAATACGTGTTTGTCTTGGGCTAAAAGGGACAGAAATTATCATTAGCAGTCCAGTCTCCAATAGCTCCGCTTGTAATATTCATTGACGCTCCTGTTGTGGTTTTACGCTGGGATCCGGGTGTGACTTGCGTAGGAAACACTTCCCAGGATGTCCCTAAAACCGTATTTGAAAGTAAGCTGATTTTTTTCATGACTCTAATGGTAAAGCTCTGAAGATCTGGCTAATGCAGCTCTGTGACGGTGTAACAGCTGCTAAATCCCAACACGATTAAAAATAAACTGCAGTAAAAATAGTCACGTATTTGTGACTGGGGAAGAACAATCACCGGGCTGGCGACTGAACCGTTGGAGGCATCATTTTGACATTTAAAGGTGTTTTTAAGAGCAGCTGAGCAGGCAGCTGCCCCCTCGTCTCCCTGACGGATTCCCAGTCCCCGACTTGTGGCCGGTGGGGGGCTGTAGTGGAAGGACAGACCCTTGCACGGAGGCCACCACGAGCAGCTCCCGCAGGTTCGGGGAGGAGGGATGCGGCTCCCTCTGTTCTTCTTCAAATAAAACCATGTAAAAGGCCAGCCACAACTGCTGGGACCCACAAGGGAGCTTACATACCTGATCACTGGCTTAAACGCCAGCCTCTCAACTTGAGGTCCTCCTCAGCTTGGAGACATCTGCAGTCCCTCCGCTTCTGTCAGTGAAGTCCCCCTGCGTTGTCATTGCGGTGCCTCCCCACGTCACCACACGGGACCACATCGCTCACTCCTGAGCCTCGGAGATCACAACAAGCACCCTCCTGCCTCTGCCCAGCACACCCATGCCGGCACACCTCTAAATCCAGGGCGTCCACCCATCCCAGTGCCACGTGGCCTCAGTGGCCTGTCACAGCGTCTGTATTATTAACTATAGCAACGCTCCCTTTTTTCTCTTTTGCAAATAACATCTGCAAATTTATTGAAATACCCGATGGTTAACCTCGCACTGAAATGATTCTTCAAACACCCGCAAGAAGCAGCGGTTTGCAGAAGTCACCGTGTTGGTGACGAGGTCTAAATTCCCTCCCCGTGACCCTCAGCACTCACATGGCCTGCACCAGCCGAAGCAAAGCTCGGCGAAAAGCCACCCAACACCAAATAACCCCAGAATGCAAATATTAGAATCATAGAATCATAGAATCATAGAATCATGAAGGTTGGAAGAGACCTCCAAGATCATCGAGTCCAACCGTCGACCCAACACCCCCAGGCCCACTAAACCATGTCCCTCAGCGCCTCATCTACCCGTCTTTTAAATACTTCCAGGGATGGTGACTCAACCACTTCCCTGGGCAGCCTGTTCCAATGTTTAACTACTCTTTCAGTAAAGAAATTTTTCCTCACATTCATGCGATGCATGCGCTAGTTCAGGTGTTCGTGATCATTTGCAGGAGAAACCTAGATGCGAGTACCGGAATAAACATTTCAAGTCTCATAATAAGCAAAATAATTACACGCTACCAAGCAAGGAAGGCTCAGGCCTTAAATTTTATTGTTGTAGATGAGAAATAAATCTGGCTTGTGATCGGCTGAGGACCCTCAGCTAACAAATTAAAGCCACCCCTCTCGTTCCCCTCCTTTCCCAGCACGTGACGCCGAGCTTTTGGAACAACGTTAAATAACAGCTCACGAACCGAGATGGAAAATCCGGAGCAGCAGCAATAAGCCCCGTTTGCTTCTTGTGGAAGTTAATATTAGACTTTAACTGTGGGCCCCCAAGCTCCCACTCCTCCTTAGAAGATAATATTCAAAAACAAAACTGTTACTTTCATGGCCATAATAAATAGTCCCGTACGCCTCCGGTGAAGACGTTCAGGCTGAATGTAACAACCCATGGAAAATGGCTTCTGGTTTCAGAGGACGTGGCGACTGATGTCCGCCGAGGAAAATGCTGGCGTGCTTTGATCGCTGCTGATTTCACACGTCAGCGCGTCTCCGTGTTTAACCCAGCGGTAGCAAATAGTTGCTGAATCTGCCAGAAGAGAGTTTTAAAAGTCAGCTCTCGCGTTGCTGATCTTATGCTTCAGGTTTAAACTCCATCGGCTCCCAAACATCTAATTTTCAGCTGATGCCTCCGGCTGCAGCGTTTGCGCGTCTCCCATCAGAGGCTGGGCGTTATCCGCTCCTCCCAGGGCGGCACCATGGAGCGACAGGGCACAACTGTGGCCGCTGCCGCCTCCTCCTCCTCTCTGGGCACGCACTCACTCGAGCGCCGGCAGTCCCGTTCCCAGCCTTTGCTGGCCGCTGCCGGGCACACGGCGAAGCTGAGCGGGACGGCGGGCGGTGAGTCGTGGGCTGCCGGGGCCAGATTCGGATCCGCTCCGCTGCAGGGGCGGCCGCTCCTTCGGCGTCTGAATTTCTCCCACCGCGAGTAAAAGTGCTGAGCTTTAGCTGAGGTATATCGATAATCTGCAACACGCTGGAAACCAACCCTCTGTTTCTCCCTTGTTGCCCCTTTCTAAACCACCGTGGGGGACATCCAAACGCCCGAAAGCAAAGACCAGAGCCCAAAGGCTTTACCTTCCAGATGCCTTCTCCACCCCTGCCCCGGGACTCCCACCCCATCCCATCCATGCAGCCGGCAGCCTTCACACCTATGCTGCTTATCAGCTGGAGTAACGGCATTTCCATCAGCCTAAGGAGAGACCTGCACGATAAGAACAAGTTTTGGGGCTCGTCAATGCCTTGCGCAAGCTCTCCTACAGCTAAACCCGATCCACCAAGAACAGAAACCAGGGTTAGTACAGCAAATGCTGCTGTTAGTTATCATCCGAGTCTCACGTGAGTTTTCTTCACATCTCAGAACATTTAGTAGATTGCTTGTTAAAAGGGTAGAAATAAGTCGTATAGGAACAATAGTTAAATATGGACCTTGGAGTTACTAAGTATAGCAGTTTCTCTTTTACAAATGAAAGTAGTGCCGCCGTGCTGGAGAGTGACACGATGGCAAGGAAAGCGGAGATTGGCTTTTATGACACCATTTACAGGTTTTCCATTTAAAAAAACTGCTGAGTTTGATTAAATAGAAGTATAGAACGTTTCTTCCGTATACAAACTCTTGTTAGCTGATTAATTGTTAAGGTGCTCAGGAGCGTGGATGAAAACAGAAGTTACAGTAGATCAGTTGTGTTTGTGTCTATTTACAAACCGCGCTCGGTTGCCTGCTGACACCAGCATCTTCCAAAGAAGCTGGAAGCAAAGTGGCCAGTTACGGATCTAATGCCACAGGAGCTGTTGTTTTCTTCACACCACCTTTGTCAGAAGGGAAAATAGTAGTATGTTCGTTCCTTTTTTTACTAGCAAAGGTGGGTGCCCTTGCTGAGTCTGGGTAGCTGGTGGTGCCAGGCAGCACCGCACCGTGAGACACCCTGTTTCTAGCTCTCGACTCCTGTCCAGCCCTCACCACCAGAATTTGCTGGTCTGCTGGGCAGCTGCCTGAGACAGGACTCGCAGCACCAGGTTGTTACACGGAAATGCATCATACGGGGCCTCCTAAGTACTCGGAGAGCTCAGACCTACCCCGTACAACAGAAGGGAGAACTGATGTGCGAGAAACCAAACGAGGAGAATGCGCTTAGCAAAAATTTTGTCTTCCAATCAGAAAAAACAAAATAAAATCCCAAGTGGCCCATATTTTGTAGGTCAAATTCCTTCCCCATTAACATTCTTGAAGAGTTATTTTCTGTCTGATGGCCAAACTCTACCTCTAGTTCCATTCTCTGCTGACTGACGGCTGACCGCGGACACTACTTGGCATCGCTTCTCTCCGTACCTCCTGTCCTCACACGGGTGCCTCAGAGGAGCTCAAAGTTTGGCATTTTGGGAACCCGTCAAACCAGGAGGGTATCTGACCATAATGAAAATGCTGATTTTGTTCTCGTCATTGTAAGATGCTATAGAAAAAGAAAGGAAAAGAAGTTGATGTGACTTCTGTTTGTAAACTTATCATGTACTGTCATCTTTCCCTTGTACATTTAAGTTTCAAACAGGTCCCAGAGATTGCAAGGCAAGAGTGTTAAGGCAGTGTAAGAAACTCGGTATTTCATTCACACCTCTTGATTCCCTTAAAGGTATTTCTAAGGCATCAAAAGGGGCATGTGGTTTGTGCTTGCCTTTTCAGAAAAAGGCGTTCGGTACAGTGTAAAAAAGGGACGCTCAGTGACAGACGGAAGCCACTCAGCCCCGGGCAATGGCCACACCATCAGAGAGGAACAGGGAGATACAGCGGGGTTTCCTGGGTGCGGGTTCCTCACCATCGCTCTTTCTGGTACACCTCTGTTTGTACAATCTCACCGGGGTGCTCAGATATGCAGGCCCCATTGATGTCATTGAGCTTGTTGTCTGGAAGATCCTCGGGTTTTGTGCAAAGTTTCAGCGCCCTGGAGATGAAGACGTCCAAGTCAAACTCAGGGTCTGTTTCACTGTTCACCTCTGTGGGTTCTTTGTGGAGATGGTGAGGAGAAGATGGCAGGCTCCGTTCCTGAATCTCCGGAAGAGGACTGGGACACTCGAGACCCACCTGCGTGCTCTTCACCCACTGAGCAATCTCCAGAAAGAGGTTGGATGGTTCTTCTTCCAGCGATAGCTCAGCTGCGGGTGCTATGGTTGCTCTTTTCCAGTGGGATAAATCTAAAATTAGCTTGGGCTCTGAGTAATGATGGGGCTTATTGTCTCTCCACAGCAATTTGTCCAAGTAGGAAGGTGACCCCACTTTATAATCACACGATTTCCCACAATCGGCATCAAATACTCGGTCCATGGATGAGTGGGATAGCTCCAAGAACCTCTCCGAGCTGCTTTGTGAGTATTTCCGCGGATCAACTTGTGCTTCTTCAGCGATGGATTCAGACCCGGCCCGGGGGTCCCGCTGAACCTCATCCATGTCATGGTATTTATCGTGTCTCCATTCCAAATCAGAGGAGAGGCTTACGTGATACCTGCGAAAGACACGCCGCTATTAGACAGGCAGATGATGGCTTCGTTAGAAACAGCAGTGCTCAAACAGATACGCACGCTGCTGCTGCTATTTTTACCTTTTTCTTACTAATATGCTGCTTACCTACAGATCTTTAAGTTCTTATTAACATTAGAGACCTTTTTCTTGTGTGTTAAAAAAGGCAGGGGGGCTGAGTAATTTATGGGTTGGGCTTGCCCAAGCTGCATGGACAGGACCAGTAGCGGGAATAGAAGCCCAACAACCAAACCAACCGGCCCCTTCCTTTAGCCTCTCATCACCTTCTCTCCACTTGGGATTAAAACATGATTAACAATATTAACAATCAAACTGTCCCTCGGCCCAGAGACAAGCACTCACAGTGTGCGTGCTCCTTGTTTGTGGCCACAGAAGTAAAGAAGATGAGCTTAAATCACCACTGAGATTGGACATCACCAGTTTACTCTGACATCGTGGACCAAGAGCATCCCTGAAGGGTCTCCTTGCCAAGTGATTTCTTCTCAAGCCAGTCGAACTCCCTTGATTGCAATTACCCGACAACACCCATTCTTAGACACGGTTTTCAAAGTGACATCTAATTTCTTGGCTCCTAACCGAGCCAGTATTTAAAATTTAAAAGGTGTGTTATCCCAGGTATTGGGGCTCTATGTCCCGACAATGAAACGCTCTTCAGGTGTCCCACAACACACAGGCAAAATCACTTCCCATCTCTAAAACACTGGGCTTGTGTTGCAAAATTTACGGCCCTACGGCAGATGTCCCCAGCTGGGTGGCAGGACCAACAGCCTAGGTCCCAGCTTCTTGTGTCACACCAAGAAAGCCAAGAGATAAAAAGGTGACAAGGTGACCTCCAGCAACTGATTTGCTGCTTTGGGGACTATAACTGGCAGGGATGCCGGAGCTGTGGGGATACCCTGAAGACAGACATCCTGAGAAAAGCTTCCAGCTTTCCTCTTTTCCTAATTTACCTGGTTGTCTCCCCCAGCCTCCACCCTGATACTTGTTCACCCAGGCAAAGAGATTAATAATAGCAAAGGCAAGGGATTTCTTTAGATTATTTTTTCAATGCTGGTGAAACATAGTGAATTAAGGCGGCGAGGAGATTTAATTGCTATGCAGAGAGGAACAACGCCGCAGACATCCTCAGCCAGCTCACCCCACTCAGCTGGAAGGAGCTCTATAGGAAAGTGAATGTAGTTAATTCTTAGCTGCTTATTTTGTCCTACCTGCTGCAGTACTGGGACTGGCCTAGTAACTGGGGTAATCATCTAGGACACAAGAGACCTCAGCTCAAGGCTTTGATCTGCTCTAAACTTCCTGTACCACTTTCAGCAAACCATTTAAAAGTCAACACGATTAAGGATTTTTTTAAAAGGTCCCAGATCTGTGGCCTCTGGGGCTTACGCACCTTGAAAAGTGATAAATATAGAGCTCCAAATCAGGCCCGGTCCCCAAAAGGTACAAGAATTGCATTGTTTTATAACTTGTATTACAAGGACAGAGGGAAGAACCGTAGCGTCACTTAAACAGATGTAACTCAAATGAAGACAATATAGGCTGTGAATAAAACCAAGAGCAGAAAGATACTCAGTAACTGGAACGTGCAGACTCAACATCTGCTCCCTGTGGAAATCAATGACGAACCTCTCGTTGGCTTCAGCAAGGTCAGCTTGGGCTAGAATTACAATATGGCATAAAGAAGGGAAAGCAGGTGTCTTTCGTGGGTCTGGAACACGTGTGACTGAACCCAGTCAAGAGCAGGTCAGAGACTCACCAGCCAAGTTCTGCCTAAAGAATTTAAGCCAGTATCTGGTCTCTGGCCCAGCCTTGGGTACCATACCTGTCCCAGTTAGACATCTGGCTCTGGTTGGCTTCCATCAGTAAAATATCATCAATCTCATCCTCAATCCGGAACGGATGCTGAGACACTGGTTCATCCTCGGGGCAGGAATACGGACTCATGTAAGGATGCTGCAGACCCATCTCAGCCGTTAATCGATCCATAGGGTTAAACGTCAGTATTTTCTCCAGAAAATCAATAGCTGTGAAGCAGAGAGAAACAAGCTCACTAATTCCTCAAAAGCAATACCAGCTTCCTTTCCAGGATGAGCCTCGTGAATCCCCCATAACAAATCCCCTCGAAGTAAGGAAGGAATCAAAGGTCACATCCCGTGTGCGTCTAAAACGGGCACTTCTGTCCTTGCTGCATCCATCTTACCCCCCAGGGGAGCGGTGCGCTTGCAGTGGAGCGATCCTGCAGCCCGCAGGTGTCAGGTCATCGAGCAAGGCAGGAGAAATGACTGAGAGAGCATCACACCTCCACAGGACAGCACATACGCGTTATACCTGGTGCTGCGATCCTGGGCCAGAACGCTAAACTCGTACCCCAGAAAGACCTTTGGACGGTGTCGGCATTTGATTCCACGCTCTCGGATCCATTCGACAAGCGCGCTGCGTTTCAGACAACTGATTTCACAACTTTATGTGCAGCTGAAGCGGGATGAGATTTAAAGTGCAATTTTTAAAAGTCTTCGGCGTGACCAACACTATGAAATGATTTTGCCCATTAATATTTATAGAATCCTGAGTGCCTAAAATTATTTTAGAAAGATTGTGGAGCATGAACTCTTTCTATGATGATGAAGGAAGAAATTAAGCGCAATTAAAGTGACTAGAATTAAACCTAAATGTAGAGGGCTTGTTGTGATTTCTTTGATGATTCCTTTTACTGAGATTACGTGAAAAGATCAAAACCTGTCATTAAAGATGTCGCTTATTCAGTTGATTCTTGGTGCATGGAAGAGTCCCTTAGAGTTCAGAAAATACAAGTAGGAATATGCCTTTCTTTTCAGTTACAACTTTTGCATTGTACCTTCAGAAATTTCCCCATTAAAGATGTAATTGTGTGAATGGGACAGTTTCTTCAGGGGCAAAAATCACTCACCAGAAAGGGCGGGCCATACCTATTGCCTCAGTGCTTAAACATTAACCAATATCCGATTGTCTCGCACGAGGTTATTTCATTGCTTGGACTAATTAAGTCGCTTCATAAGGTCACTGACTGCGGGCAGGAAGCATGGCGGAACGATATATTACAAGTTATATATTACGGGTCAGAGAGGCAGAAAAATGTCAATGAATTATGTGAGGGGCACAGGTGACCTTTCTTCCCACAGTGACGACGGGGAATAAATCCATTCCCGCTTGCCGGAGGCTGACGCGGTCCCTGGGTAACCCGGGCCGATGGGTATCACATTGCCAAGCCCATATAGCAGATGCCTTATAATGAAGAGTTACGCCAGCGAACACAAGCCGGGCTTGGTCTTGACGTCTTCCCAAAAGCCGGTGGCCAGGTCCACCAGCCCGGTTTAAGCCTTGGAAGGAATT